ATATAATAAAAGTAAACATGTTGAAATTTGTAAGATTTAGCAAAAATAACCCCCTTGATAAAAGCATAAAAATGTTAAAACAAGTACTATTCAAAAGTGAGGGATTGGTAAGATTGTTTTGTTTTTGAAAGGTCACTTACAGTATACTCAACAAGGCTGCATTTATTTGATGGAGAAAAAAAAAACATATATTGTGAATTATTAGAATTTGAAAATATATATATATTTTAAAAAGTAATTTTGTGATGTCAAATAGAATTTTTAGCAGCCATGACAAATATGTTCTATGATAACATTCCCATTAAGTAATGAAAAGATTATTTTTAAATGTTCTCAGAATGTTCAAAATTTCCTCTTTTTTTTTAAAACGTTTTAAAAATATTTTTTCGTGTTTATGCGAAGGTTAATAAAATATAAAGGGAACGTTCCATTTTAACATTTTACAAACATTATGGGAGCGTAGATTTTTTAATGCTGAACATTTTTAAAACGGGTGGTAAGTAAAAAACGTTGGACAAACGTGCAACAAAACTTGTCATGAACTATAAATAACGTTTTTGTGCAAACGTTTTGAAAATGTTATTAAAGACTGTGTACAAACATTCTAATAATTTTACTGGAAGAACATTTTTTCATAACTTTTAGAGAACCTCGCAAAACATTAGCCAAAGTTCTGAGAACGTTTCCATGGGATTACTCCAGTCTTCAGTGTCACAGGATCCTTGTAATATAATAATAATAATAATTCCTTACATTTATATAGCGCTTTTCTGGGTACTCAAAGCGCTTTACATGGAAGGGGGGAATCTCCTCATCCACCACCAATGTGCAGCATCCACCTGGATGATGCGACAGCAGCCATAGTGCGCCAGAACGCCCACCACACACCAGCTTACTGGTGGAGAGGAGACAGTGATGAAGCCAATGAGTATATGGGAATGATTAGGAGGCCATGATGGACAGAGGCCAAGGGGCAAATTTGGCCAGGATGCCGGGGGTTACACCCCTACTCTTTTTCGGAAAACATGGGATTTTTTAATGCCCACAGAGAGTCAGGACCTCTCCGTTTAACGTCTCATCCGAAGGACGGTGCTCTTTGACAGTGTAGTGTCCCCGTCACTATACTGGGGCGTTAGGACCCACACAGACCACAGGGTGAGCCGTACCCCCTACTGGCCTCACTAACACCTCTTCCAGCAGCAACCTGGTTTTCTCAGGAGGTCTCCCATCCAGGTACTAACCAGGCTCAGCCCTGCTTAGCTTCAGTGGGCAACCAGTCTTGGGTTGCAGGGTGATATGGCTGCTGGCCAATATGCCAATATGCTGATTTGGTGCATGATACATTTCATATAATGTATTGAAAACAGTTGTGCCGCTTAATATTTTTGTGGAAACCATGATATATTTTTATACGAAAGATGCAAGATTCTTTGATGAATAAAGTTAATTTATTTTGTAACATTATAAATGTCTTTACCAATGTTGGGGAAAGTTACTTTTAAAAGTAATGTGTTACAATATTGGGTTACTCCCTCACAAAAGTAACTAATTGCAATACTTAGTTACTTTTCATGGAAAGTAATTACGTTACTTTTGAGTAACCTTTTCTCACCTGGGCTGGACTGGACTGGAAAAATTATTTTTACTTGTTACTTAGTATGGTTGAATTGGATCATCGAAGGTCAGCAGCAAAGACAATAATTAATAAAGTGAGATTAAATACATAAAGTATATTTGTGTATTTTAACATATTTATACATTTATAGTAATATTCTGAGTTTGCATTTCACTGCTTTTATTCATTTTGAGGAATACTGAATCAGTTTTTGTGCAAGTGAGAAGAGTAAATACATGTTCACATTAGCAGAACAATAACCATCATGTTTACACACAACGCCTCTGCACTTACAATGTCTCTCGACATGAGGACAGGAGAGCTGTCAGTCAATAAATGGGGGAAAAAAACCTTGCGTAAATTACATGAAAAAGCAACTCAGATATTTTGTTGAAAACCTAAAAGTAATGTGTTACTTTTACTTGTTACTTGAAAAAAGTAATCTGATTACGTAACTTATAATTACCCACACTGGTCCTTACTGTCCTTTTTGATAATTTTTTGCTGATTTATTTTTAATCTTCCTGACTCCAAACAGTGTAAATTTAACGGTGTGTGTTATCTGTTGTTGAGCGAGTACGTTCTCCGTCACTATGTCTAAATATGAACGAACAGCCTTCACACTAAAGCAACTTAACAGTAAAAAAAAAAAAAAATCCCCATATATAAAGATTTCTAGAGACAGACAGATTAAACACTGAATCTGTCAGTTCAATTATGTGTTATGAGGAATTAAGAAAATATATCAATTATAATATTATCCATCCACACTTGATTTGTGGCCAGAATTCTATCATTTATAAAGAATTATACAGTTGTACTAAGTTGCTGTGCGGTTGCCGGGTAGCTTCATGAATTAAGCGGTTCATTATGAAGGCTAGGTCTTTGCAGTCATTAAGACGGGCATGAATGTGTCACCTCCACCCCTGTTGAAGTCAGAGTAATTAACAATAATACCTCATATCAAATTCTGCTCCTCAACAAGCCGCAGACCAGCAACTTCACGATGACCTCATTCCAATTCATCATACTTTCCATATAATCCATATTAAAGACTCAAGAGTTGAAAAAAAATCTGCATATCTTTTTCATCGCAAAAGTCATGGCACAATCATAATTGCAATAAGAAATGGTCACATATTTGCTTTAAACGGGAGGATTTTCTTGTGCACTGAATCACTTGGCGTGTTAGATTTTCAACAGGCGCTTACATATGCAAAATGTCACATTTTGTTTGAAATTTACACTGGTGCTTATGGTAAAAGATGAATTTGATGTCTTTTAAGATGCCAAGAAATTCAGATGTCAACCGTCAGACTGTAATGCATCCAGAGAGTAATGAAGAGAGAGGAAAGCAAGCGCAAGAAAGAGAGACGGGATCATTTTCATTGACTAGATATGATGTGGGTGTAGTTTTCACATCAGGCAGCCACTTGTGCATCTTATTTGTTCAGAGGGCAGGTTCAGCTCACTCCTGGTGTGAGTGTGTGCCGCAGCGCGTGTATGAAGACGTATAAAAGAGCCTTTGCCATGCTAAACAGTGACACTCTAAATGGCCTCCCAACTGGCAGCTTTTGTGTTGTGAAGAGGACCAGCTTCTCAACTTCAAAGGTGAAATTTATGTCAAGACGAGCAGGACAAAACAACTTTATCAAACGGCTGCTTTTGAAGTCATGCGGCCGTCTCCTCCGGCGCTTCATGTGAAGCACAGCATCCCAGACACACACACACACACACACACACACATAGAATAACCTTTCGGCAAAGAAAATCTATGGTCATCCCAATTCGTGGTCAGTTATTTTCATGAAATGTAATATCAAAATATTAAGAAAGTGTCACTTGTATCAGGCAATCAATAAACAGGCCACGGTTACATGAACAGACTGAAATGGAATTTTGCTTGTACACAAAACAAATGTTTGCTTCTTGAAAGTTCATTATTTGACTTAATTTAACTTTTTTTTCTCCAAAAATCTCCAGCATATTCATTTTAGATTAATGTTTGATACTTTAAATGCAGGGAATATTGCGCTGAACATTTACATTTCTGCATATGCTTTACTTTTTAATATCAGCTTAGGTTTTCTTTACTGTAAAAAAGTTGCTGCCTTAAATTTTTAAGTACAATCAACTTGGATGTTTAAGTCATTTCAACTTAAATTATATTAAATTGACTATATAACTAAAGTTGAAAATTGCTTGAATTATTTCGATGAGTTAAAGCAATGTTAAAACATATGTTGTCACTTGTAGTGCACTTCTGGAGCTCCTAAAATATATACCTGGCCAAATTTGCATAAAAAAACTGATCTCCAAAAGAAGATCAGACATGTGAACACAGGACTAAAGTTATAAAGCAACGCTCAACATCAGGATGGATTATGAGGAAAATGCTCCTCTGCTGGACGGCACCATGTTTTCTGTAGTTTGGCAAACAGACACTTTCGTCTCTGTGCCTTGGAGCAACAATTGTCTTAATGTTCGAAAATGGCGAGGAAGCGAATCCATTACTATTAAGCTCTTTCTGCTTGTGGATGTTCAGCCACTGTCTGTCAGGGTTCACCGTTCAAAATGTGGATTTGGTGAAAGAATTCACAAAGTGGAACACAATATTGTAAATATTCTGTGAAAGCACAAAATAAATATTAATATAAAAACTATTTCCTATTCATAAAAAAATAATCAATTTTGTATTAAACAAAAAGAATTTACAGATACATTAATTTAAGTATATTTTAAAGAATGTTATATATTAGCTACTACCTTACACATATGCGTAGCAAATATGTCTTTAATTTTACATAAGAGTAAATATATATAAATATACTGTATGTATAAGATACAAATGAGAAAAAGTCACATAGAAAAAAAGACATTCCACTGCACAGAAACTGGATTGAAGTATGATTTTACTCTAAAAATACTTCATTTACAAATCTTATACAATTATACTGTTTTTTTGAAGCTCATATGCCACCTGAAAACAGCACACTTAAACCAGGCCTGCTTTTGTTCACTATAATCGTCTATTTGCTTGTTTTATTTTCATAAAATATGTAGATGTTGTGTTAGTAAATACCACGAGTGCAATTCAAATGCTGAAATTGATTATATTCTACACATATTTACATGTATAACATTTATGATAATATATAAGAACATTTTTAACATAAATGTATTTTCTATTTTACACAAATACAATAATTTAGCAAAATTCACTTTGGGTTTTTTCACGACTCTCTCTCAGACAGAAATCCTCTTCACTGTTTTACCAGTGTCATACGAGCATGCAAGCCGTAGTCGTGTGCAAACACACCATTTTTAAATTCATTTCACAGTCTGTGTATGTTTAATGTTTATAAGGCTTAATTTGTACATGTACATCAGATACATGTTTTTCCTTATGCCGGTTTATACAGTCCTTTGTACAGTACACAGTTTTTAAAAGAAGTTCAAACATGTACACATACCTCATCATTCAACAAAGCAGAAAAGCGCAGAGCTGAATATGACAACCTGCATTCTGCATAACATAAACTATAGCCTGAAATACACAGCCATAAAAGCTTATTATTTAACACTTTTTAAAAGGACAGTGCGGATCTTCTGGAAAAGGCTTGGCATCTCAAATCAGTCCACAGCCGTCCCCAAAAGCATGCTCTTACGTACCCACCGGTCCTTTTTTTTTGGCTCAGGACTGCAGGAGAGCATGATGGAGAGACCCGCTTTTTTCCTCAACGAGAGTTGTTGCGTCTCTCTCCATCAGTGATGCGCTTCTCGGGCACAGCTGCGTTACTCCCGGCGTCATGCCAGTCAAGGACGGGACCGTGCCCAGGGTCGGCGTGGGTTTGATGGGCACTGGTACGGCGGGCATGCTCTGGGTTCCCGGGTGGTGATGGTACAGCCCCTTCACCGCCACACTGAACGGTGGGTAGTCTGACGACACCGGCTCGGACAGCATGCCAACGTGCGGCCACACGGAGTTGACCATGCCGCCCACGGGCACGGGATAGCCGAGGTGATGCATGACCGACGCAATGGGCAAACCACTGGCCATCACTCCTTTATAGTCTCTGCCAATAAGGCTCTCGATGGCGAACGGGTGCTTGAAGCCGCCGCTCTGCCCGCCGCCAAGCGAGTAGCTCTGGAAGTGAGAGAGGCGGCCCATGGTGCCCAGGTACTCCGGATGTCCCACGCCCAGCTTGCTTGAATGGTGGTGGGATTGATGCAAGGGGTGCTGGGAATGGTGAGAGTGGTAGGAGTGCAGCACGGGGCCACTCTTGCAAGCCGAATGCTCCACCCGCAGGAGCTTGAAACGCTTGCGGCGGCGGAGGAAGCTGCCGTTCTCGAACATGTCTCCACAGTCTGGATGCAAGGCCCAGAAGCTGCCCTTGCCCGGTTGGTCGGGGCGCCGGGGGATCTTGATGAAGCAGTCGTTGAAGGAAAGGTTGTGCCGGAGTGAGTTCTGCCAGCGCTGAGTGTTCTCGCGGTAATACGGGAAGCGGTCCATGATGAATTTGTAGATGTCGCTGAGGGGGAGCATCTTCTCCGAGGAGCTCTGGATGGCCATGGCAGTCAGAGAGATGTACGAGTACGGAGGCTTCTGGTCACTGTAGGAGTTTTTGCCTGGCCGAGGCATGGCTTTTTTTTTTTAAATGATGTGCAATAACACTCAGAAGCAAGCCAGCATATCGTCCATTTCAATTAAAAAAGAAAATCATTCAACGTGCTATTGCTTTGATTTACTTCATCTGTTTGTTTTGAATGTTTACATCTGCTTTATAACACGATAGTCATGGAAACAGCTTAAAAGTCAAAATCCACAGGATTAAGGCAAAGCCAAAGTATGTCAAAGAAGACGGGACCGTTTTGAAAGTTACCTCTCTAAATGATACTCCGCACGCGCGCGCGACACCTGCGTCCTCTCAGAGCGCGAGAAGTTCTCCCGGAGGATGCGCGCACTCGGCTTTGACTCGCAGAAGATCCGCGACGCTTTTGTAAGAATGGCAGAGGTCCAGACCCCCCGCTAGTTGCGTTTTATTATGATGACACTGACTTTAGGACGAATAAGGGGTAAATAGGGGGAGGGTCTGACTTCATATGCGTTTAGTCCTATTCATCTGTACCAATCAGAGGCAAAGAGCAGCGCGCGCACTAATGAGTCTGATAATGATAACACACACTGCAAGACTAATGATGTGAATGCGAAATATCCATACTGTTTATGGAGAGTTATTAGAATTGTTTTAAACGTCTCGAAGTCTATAAAATCTAACTTTTTGGAAGTTTACTTAAACAAGAATAGCCTTTAATATTTAACGTGTGTTGTTCGCTGTCAATGCAATGTCAAACTGTTTTCAGTGTATAATTCACCTTAAAATATTGAGCTAATTTCAGCGTACAAAAGACAATTAAAAAACTGTGTAAAGTACAAATATTATGAACAAAGAGACATTCTATTAATGTGCAAACCACATTATTTATATTATTTAAAACAAATCGTTTCTTCTTTTTTCGGTTATGTACATTGAAGTGTTTTGTTTTGCATTTAACACTGTTTGTTTATTGTACAGCATTATTTTAATGTATATGAACCCTGATGGGGATTTGTGTTTTTGTTTTTGTCTCATTACAACACAGTTGCTGAAGAGATGCTGATAAACTTCCATTATACCACCTGTGTTATTACAGTAGGATTATGAAATATAAAGTCACGAAAATTCCATTTAATTTTTTTTTTCTGTTATAGATGAGACAAGGATTTACAATGAGGGTTTCTCATTATTATTTGTTCTAAAGATGTTTTAACATAAAATGAACCAGGCAATAGAGAATAATCATACACTTTCTCCAGCATAATATCTTACGATTGCACAAACTTCAGTTTGTTAAATTGAATCTATTTAAATTCGGCCATGTAGCCTAATATTAATTGCAAGTTGAAATAACATTATTCTTATGATATTCATAATATTAATATGAGTAGCTTCAGAAAGAGATGAGCATTTTTGTTCATTAACTGTTAGTTTGTTGAACCACAACATTGTCCAAGTATTTCAACTGACACAGTTCTGTATAGCTCTTGATTGCTACACATAAGTTATCAAATAAAGCTTTTTTTGTGCTCACAAGCAAATTGTATAAATGTGTTTAGTAGTTTTGGCCTTTTCTCACCCCTGAAGCTACAAATAAACGGTGTTAAAAATAAAAAGTTAAATATTTGTCATGACATAATTCAACCAGGATCAATCAAGATTGGTTCAGTGCTCTGAAATGTGGAGAGAGATAGCAAAGAGAGAAAGGGCAAACAACAAGACAACCAAATAGGCCTACCCAGAAAAATAGCCTATATATATATATTTTTTTTAATCTATCCATAATTTTGCTTCCCATCATAAAATGCATAATATGTAACCTTGTCATATAACTTGACACCAGCATAAAAACGTTGCTATTATTGTATACTATTTAACTCCTTTCTCTTGAGTAATTTCAGGTAAAACATTTATGACCAATCATTCAAAAGCTGAAAGCGCACGCGTTTGCACGCACCAAGCGCGCGCCAGTTTTTCACCAAGCTGAGCGGAGTCAGAATCAACCTGTCAAGCTGTTTGCTCTTTGCTCGTATTTCACAAGGATAAACACTTCCCCACAGCCCCCGAGAACAGGTACTCTCCGGTAAACAGAATAACAAAAGCTCCGGCGCTCTTGTGCGGCCAGGTGTCACGGCACGGTCCCACCAGGCGCCTTCTTACTCGGGTTCCCGGCGGGTCGCGAATACATTACATTAATTAAGCCTTCAGTGATTTACCTTCCTGAGAGAGATGTCCAACAATATAATTAAAGGCGTAGTGGTTATATTAGCGATGAATATTCAAAACCGTGTCAATTAATTAGCCAACAGATCTTTCTCATTTTGTTCCTGAAGAGCTCCGGTGGTTCTCTAGTTTAAAGGGTCACCGGCGAACGAGGCGCATGCATATTTCACACCCGGCGCCATTATCCCCCAGGCTTAATGTCTTTTGAAATGCAACTTTAGCTCCGGACCGCTGACGAATAACGTGTGTTTATACGCGCCTTTGACACGCGAATCATGCAGAGCGCTTGGCACCGGAAGGCCCCTGCGCGAGGCTGCAGTGGGAGCGCGCGTGTTCCTCCTCACCGTGTTGTTTAGATCAATATTAAACCTGCTCCCACAATGCGCGGTGTTAAGTAGACAACACGCTGATATGCATAAGAAATTAATTAGACGGGTTTTCGCTGCATTCAACTCCTGGACAAATAACAACTTGTAAAGTGCACCTTCTGGGCATATTGAACATATGCTGGAATTAGCCTTAATTGACTAATTACATAAATTACTCATTAATTTTACAGCACATCAATTATAAAAGATATATCAATTAATTTTGCATAAATTAAGGACTGAACGTGGCAAAAACGGAGACGGGGAGATGAGCGCGCGAGGAGGGGGTCGGCTCTGGGCCGCGAGGCGAGGGTGGGGGGTCGAGGGGGTGTTTCGTCTGTTTGTTCCAAAGATGCTAATAATTATTTTTTCAGCTTTGGGCGAGAGATTCTGACTCTCGTCATACAATGGGAAATGTAGAAACCCGCAATCACGGTAGTAATAATAATAATGTTAAAGACCCCTTACTAAGTGAGCATATAGCGTTGCCGCAAGGACGAAGCATTTAAATCAATTAGAGTGGTCCTATTGGGAAATGAGACTTTGGCACCAGCAAGAAGACTTCATGGCCACCAAATGATTTATTGATGCCGATTAACATATGATCGCTTTAAGTGTGACGAGGAAGTCCTCCCATAAGTTAAGGTGATCTGTGTAATGTCTTCATTTTGAGATGGTGCTGCATTTCAAAGTTGATAGATTCTAGATCAATTGCATCAGGGCATATGCCGAGTTCTCAAAGCAAAAGTTATATGTGAAATGCTATAAGAGATATTTCAAGAATCAACCCTAAAGCAAAGTTTTAATATGCTTTATCTGTCCATAAACTCACGATATCTTCAAGATGCCGCACTTGAAGTAGATTTAGATAATTGTCCTTCCTTTCCATTGCCTCTGGTCTATATATTTATAACAGACAAACTCATTCATCTTCCTACCTGCAGATCAGGCCGACATACACAATTGAGTATAAAACCCATTCACATACTTAATATGGAATATACATTTTGGTTTTCTGTATTTGTATTTTTTTTCTCTCTTTCGCTCGCTTCTCTCTCACTCACACATACACATTAAAACTATCTATCTCTCTCCCCTGGTGAGAGCTTAGTGAATCGTGCAGTTGGCAGAGTCTGTCTCACCCGCCACACACACACACACACACACAGGGCCCCACAGTCAGTGGCCCCTACCTACCACAACCCTACAGTCATTCCTTACCTTTAGCAATCCATTCCTTACCTTCCACAATTCATTAACTATGCTTATTTCGTACCTGCATCAACATAATCCTGCTATTTTCATACCTTCTGTAAATCATTCCCAACAGACCTTCAAAAATCTATTTGATTCTTTATAAGCTAAACACACCGTAGTGAAACTTTGGCGTCCGGTAAAATCTGCCAGACCCTTCTTCAGCTCAAAATGTCTTTGGCAGGATTTGCGCCAAAAAATGTTGGCTGTTATATGTATAAGTTGTATGTGATGTAGTGAATCAAACCTTGTAAAAAGATATATATATATTATTTTTAATAATGATAATAATAATAATATATTTGTTACATATGTAACATGTACTTACCATATAATAACAATAAATTATGCATAATTACATGCAACTAACCCTCAACCAAATCCTAACCTAATCCTATAATCCTAGTAAGTACATGTTGTTAATTATTATTACTCAGTACTTAAATGTATAATTACATTGTATGACACCTTAATATAAAGTGTAACCTAATTAAGATAAATTATATTATATTAATACCAATATTTGAAGCTATAGCAGATAAAATAAAAAATTATTATTATTTTAATAATGATAATAATATATAATTTGATATATAGAATATTATACTATAGTATAGTATAGTATATTATATTATTAAAAAAATATATATTAGTAATAATAATATTATTCATATTAATTTTTATTATAAAATAATATACTATACCATAATATATTAAATTATATATCATTGAAGCCACAGTAGAGCTTCAAAGAGCAACATGATATTACAATACAATAAATTATATTACAATACAATAAAATATTATTATTTAAAGCTATAGCGGAACTTCATTTAGCGACATAGGGAATGTGCTACGCCTCTAGGCTTATTATTTTGTGTTATTATTTGAGATGAAAAAAACTTCATTGCGTTGTTTTAATAGATTGTATGTGATGTAGTGAATCAAAACCCTTAATAAAAATAAAAATATTTTAATAATAATTATAATGCATTATTTAATATTATATTAGGTTACACTCATGGTGTCATGTTAAGTACTGATTAATAATAATTAACAATTGACTTATTATATTAGGAGTATAGGGTGTGGTTAAGGTTAGTTGCATGTGATTATGCACAATTTATAGTAATTAGCAACTACATGTAACGTGTAGCAAGGACACTAAATATCTCACACAGCAACAAAGTGCCGGCCCAGATCCGGCCCACATCTGGTACACACCCGTACTAGATGTGGGCCGGATCTGGGCTGACACTATGTTGCTGTCTGGGATAATATAATCAAAATTAACATCAGTAGTACTAGTATTCAAAGTAGTGGAGCTTCAAATGGTTATTGTTTGAGAAAAAATAGGCTATATTCAGGCTATTTTTGTAGAGGCTGATATCAATTTTATCCCATTCATGGATGGAAAGTGTTGCATTAGCAGGTTGTGAGAAACAAACGAGAGCTGATGAGAGTTTTTAATTTCAGTGACCACCACTAGGTCAGTAGCTTATCATACATGTTGAATCCTGGGTATAAGACTTGGGTAAACACAAGAAAACAGAGACAACTCAACACAATCTCCCCCCAGCCTCACGACCACGAGCGCCACCACAACTAAATTAACAATGTGTTTAACAACGCGAAAGATAGACATCCTTCTT